TATTGATTTTCAACGTCGTTGGGTGTTCGGCCGGTTGTAAAAGTAAGAGGTTTTGGCCGTGGTTGATTGGTCAGTCATACGTCATTGGGTGTTCGGTTGATTGACGGCGTTAGGGACGGCCGACGATGGCAAAGGAATTGAAATTAGGATTTAAAAGATAAATTAGGTCATCATCAAGCTTCTGTCATTTGCTTCTGATTTTAATCATTGGTGGAACACATAATCCCACCTCCTCGAACCATTTTTTGACATACCAAAACACATTACTTGCTGTTATCCAAATTAATCATTCTTGAAGCTTCCTGTAATTATTTATATAGCTAGACTCTTTGACAAGATAGAATCAAGAAATGCACACTCAAAATTTCCATTTCATTATTAAACTAAAACCATAACTTAAATCTCATGTATACTGTTGGGATAAACAAACATAAATGAATAGGTATAACAAAAATGCTCTACCGATTTGCCAGCCCTTGCATCGCCTGTGAGCCTTCTTCAACAACCTTGTTTGCTTCAATGGTGCTGATGAGGCTTGCCACATTCCCCTGCTCAATCAAATCAAAGAAAAGTCCAACATTCAAACAGATGAATGGCTCGATAACTGGTGAATATCTTTTCCCTGACAACAAAACCTATATTATGAATCAAATGTGATAAACAGGAAGCTAAGCAACTTTACCCTAAGAGTATCCTTGATGAGGGCATATGGAATTTGTCCAGATTCATTACACCCCAGATCGACCAATGACATCAACCTCATCTTTGTTATACAATCTTCATGAACAAGACCTGAACCATGGAGAGCGGCAATATTGAAATTCAACAAATTACTGATGAACTTTAGCCCCACGTAAAAAAGCCTGTACAATAGGTAAAATGGAAGGCAAAGCATTACCATAACTTTTCAATAAGGTAGAATTTGTAGCCTGAAATTCCAGGTAGGCATCCAATCGCTGAGTCAAAAATATCTTCAGAAGTTGATAGACCAACACATATTTACCATCTTTTTCCAATTGCCCAACAGCAGGCATATCTAGTAAATCACACTGCAAAAGAAAAGAAAAAAAGAAACAAAAATTAATCTATGGGCAACAAAAATTTATACGAATGCTCAGCTGCAATGTAGGAACAAGACAACCAAAGCTTTAGGGGGTTGCCGAGAAATAGTATAAAAGCCAGAATGGAAAGGTGGTGGGGAGAGGGGAGGGGGGCTGTTGGCGGGAGCAAAAAAAGGTTAAAAAAGAAAATATGTGCATTTATATAAATATAGATCAGCTAGGATCTGCAACATTAGAAAGATTAAAATACCTGAAACATATCCGCTGCCTTCACAAATTCTATAATGGCACGCACAGCTTCCTCCTTGGCTTCCGTCATTACATACGAGTCCTCAACAGAGAAAGTTGCCAAATACTTGGCCAAGAATTTGAAAGAATCCTTTCCTGAGCTGGATTTGAAGTATATGTTAGAGTGCAACCAAAATATTAGGAATAATCGCATATAGGTAAGGGCATCTAACTGTATGCTTTGGGGTTGTTATATACCTTTTGTTTTCTTTAAGTACATTTGCAACGGTAAGAAAGAGGTTCCTTTGATCCTTCACCCCAATATTCCACTCCTTCAAGAAACTATCAATCTTTTTGAAAGATGGTACAATATGATCAGTGACTGTCCCATTCAAGGCCAAATTTAAGGCTTGCATGTACACAAAGAACCGGCTATTCGGGCCCTCCAACAAATTATAGAGATTAAACAAGCTGGAAAGAAAAAATAAGAAACATGAGAGAGAAAGACATTAAAACTTCAATAAGCTAGAAATATGGACATCAATGGACATTACATCTTTAAGCGCATTGCAGGCTTGTCAGTTGGTTGTTGAGTGATTTTTGTAGATATGAGTTTTGCCCCCTCAAGTTCTTCATTTGCATTTTCGAGTTTTGAGACAAGGTTGCAGATGACAGTGAAGATACACTCAAGATCTGAATAAATATAATAAAAGAAATTACTTACTTGCAAAACTAGAACTTCAATGCGAATTTATGAATTATCTATCACTTGCAAAACTAGAACTTCAATGCGAATTTATGAATTATCTATCACAGCATTGTAGAAATCATAACTGAACAAAAAAATGCATAGTAGAATTCATACAAGTCCGGTCCTGGGTATCCTCACAGAATGTTAATAGTATCAACTCAATTCACTTACAATTTGCCATTGCAGCTCAAATAGAAATTTCTAAAAAAGAAAACAAGGGAATTCTAAAGAACATTCAATCTGTCTTATCTACACTAATTACACAAATTCTATTCACAGGGTCTAAATGCTGTATTGAACAACAAAATCTAAACTCTTCTGTCAAGAAAATAAGTTGCAGAAATACTAACTGTTACAGAATCATAATTTCCAAAGTATCTATAATCTCAGAACAAACATCACCATGTAAGAAGACTCCATTTTCGACGGTTGCTTTTGCTACTCTCTTTTCACATGCTTTCCTAAAAGTAACCCGAAAAAAGAAAGAAAAGAAAAATCCTAACTAATTTATTAAAGAGGAACAAATGACTTATACCACAAATCCAGTTCAGACTAATTTTTCCACTTTTAAAACAAAAATCAACCATTCATTCTCCAAATAATTTCACATCATTAATTTGTAAATTCTTCAAAGCATTCTTTGTTTTTATAGTCAAAAACGTATTTATCAAACGCAACAACAAAACAGTACCTAAATCCTTTGCCAATTAACTAATTACACCTTAAATTAATATTTCAAAATCTCAATCGAAAAATGGAATGAACTAAGAAATTATCTCAATTCATAAATCTCCGAATTCTATTTAAATAATACCTTTATCGGAGACCTTAGAAAAGACTATCTCAGCAGAAGTAAGCATTAAAGAAGCCAAATCCAACCATCTTTCCATCACCATACACTGTTGCGCTTCCATACAAAGCCTTGTCACTTGCGGCTCCGCAACCTTTTTCACCATAATTACACGAAAAAATATAATAAAAAACTGAAAAATCCGATTTCAAAGTGTTTTGGGAGGATAGAGTTGAGCTCACCTCCGGCCCGGCATCGGCCCAAGAGAGTTCGGCCGTGAATCGGACCACGGGGAGCACGGGATCTTCTTCGGAGGTGGGAACGACTGTCGTCATCGTAGTTTTAAAATCTCTCTGCTAAACCCTAGTTTCGAATTGGTTGAAGCAGCCGAGCGGAGAGAGAGAAAAACAATGAGAACCCTAGCTGTTCTGGTTAGTAGTTTTTGTTAATTTAGTTGTGATGTAAAATAAAGAAAGTAAACAAGAATAAAAGAGAAAAATATACTAGTATTGTTTTTCAATATGAAGTACACAGAAAGTCAATTTCTATATTTATAATCATAATAAATTTAATATACAATTCTAATAAATATAAATATAAAAAACTTGATAATAAAATACTTCAAAATCTTATTTTATACATAAAATTTCACTTATACTAAGACATCAACCTAAATAAATATTCATAACATGTATATGAAAATAATATGTCTCGTAAAATTTTTATTAGAATAAAAATTTTAGAGAAAAATATCTTAATGAAAGAAAAAATATATATATCTTTAATACTCGTAACATGTCGAGTGAAAGCACTGCATGACAAAACATGATTTTTTTTACATTTTTTTATGTGAGTAACAATATTTGTTAGTATATACGATATAAACGTTTATGCTTTGAAGTTGTTATCAATGGTGATCCAACTTTATTTTTTAAAAATATTATTTTATAGTTCGCATGTGAATAGTGGTCCATTTACTATCATTCTATTATGAGAAAATAACTTCAGTAATCGAAAATTCCTTATAATATACGATTTTAACCAACTATTTTACGATTTGCCAAAATGACCAACAAAATCGCAATGCGATCTCTAAATCGCAACGCGATCTCCATTATCGCAATTCAGTTTCCAGATTCGCAACGCGATTTTGACCATCGCATTGCGATTTTCGAAATTCGCGTTGCGATTTTACATAATCGCAAAGCGAATATGTAAATCGCAATGCGAATATGTAAATCGCAATGCGAATATGTAAATCGCAACGCGATAACACGTGATCGCAACGCGATTCTGACTATCGCAACGCGATTCTGACTATCGCAACGAGATTCTGACTATCGCGTTGCGATAATATAAAATCGCAATGATTTTCAAAGTAGTATCGCAACGCGTATTTTATTTTCAAATTCCAAACACGAATATTTACCCGTAATCGCAACTCTTAACCTAAAACCCTAAATCACAACTCAGTCTCATCTTCATCTCTCACTCTCTACGGCGACATCCGTCCCCATCTCCAGCGAAATCCGTCTATCTCCATCTCTCAGAGCCACCCTCACAATCATTCACGATCAGAAATGGAAAATCAACCAAATCAACCACCGAGGGTTAGTTTTTTTAATTATTTTTATTTTAAAATTTTTGCATTATTATTAGGTTTTTCATATTGAAATTAATGATAAGTTTACTGGTAATTTCAATAATAGATTGCTGCCAATACTGCTACTGTTTAGTCTTTAACCCTGTGAAGTTAGTATTTGTCTTTGTTTTGTCTTTTGGTTGAAGTAATGCAATTCATTCAAGTTTCAATTTTAGACAATGACCATTTGAAACCGAGAATCGCAACGCGAAATGAAAATCGCAACGACAAAATTCGCGTTGCAATTATCTCGTTGCGATAGCCATTTCGCATTGCGATTATCTCGTTGCGATAGTTAAATTCGCGTTGCGATAATTATTTTCGTGTTGCGATTTTCATTTTCATGTTGCGATTTTAAGTTTCAGAAACTATTCTTCTTCTGCAAATTGAAACTTGAATGAATTGCATTACTTCAACCAAAAAACAAAGACAAATACGAAATTCACAGTGTTGCAAAATTAAGTTTGAAAGAATAAACTACTACGCTTTATGTTTATTATTGTTTTTGATATATCTTCACAGTGTAGTTTTTGGTATATCTAACTTGGTATGTTTATTATTTTTGTAGAACTTTTTTTCGGCTCAATTGACCTTAAGGAATAAAATAAGCCTAGTCACTACAATTGCGTCAAAGCTTTCACTTGTACAAAGATAATTGTTTGAGGATACTTGCTTCGGGCCATGGCTGAAAGTACAACATCCGGGTGGAGATGTTATGTTGACCCATTTGTGGCTTCAGACCATGACACGCGATCTACCCGAGAGTATAGAACGTGGTAATGAAGAGATATGGTTTCATTTTCCACCGGCGTATACGTGTTTTGGGAGGGAGGAGTTTTGCTTAATCATTGGTCTACGCTTCGGACACGATGATGTAGGTCGATACACTAGTCATATTACCCCGCCCATCATTGTTATCCCGGGTTTTTCTTGAGCTGTCAATGGAGAAGCCGAATTTACACGACGACGACTTGACGAGATTATTTAATAAGAAAGATAGTTTTACTCGGATGGATGACGTTGATGTTGTCCGAGTATGCCTTTTAGTACTTTTGCATGCCGGCTTTTTAGGCAGAGAGGGCAGACAACCTATTCCTAAGGACCTAATATTATTGGTAGATGACCTAAATGCATGGAACCTATTTCCGTGGGGTTCGTATCTATGGAAAGATGCCTGGAATAAGTTGTCGTCTGCCTTTGATGACCGCAAAAGTTTGCGTGGGGATGGTTCCAAATACACTTTGTCAGGTTTTATTTGGGCCTTTAAGGTAAGAATTTCTATATAATGTTTCCAAAATTATAATTAATTATTTTAACAATTACTAATGTTTGTGTATTATATTGTTTGTAGATTTGGATATTTGAGGCTTTTCCCGACATGCAGACATATGCATTCAAAACTTCAAATGATATTCCTAGGGCTATTTCCTGGAAGAGGAAACGGCGGCTGTTGATTTGGGAATAGTTACTACGGTATACGACAATAAATGATGTAAGTTAACACAAATACTACCATATATAAACAAGTTATTACTAGTACACGTTTAACTTTATTTGAGCTTTTATATTGTTAGGAGGCCAACACTCCATTACAGAGGCTGACACCCACGGAGGCTGAGCTTGCCACTGATTGGTGGCAAGCTAGTAAGCGTTTTTTTGATGGCACGGATGATGAGCAGCCTCCACTTCGAGAGCCATCACCTCACCCAGAGCCATCACCTGATCGACCACACTATACACCTCTACAACGAGAGCCATCAACTATTTTGTCACATCATCGAGCCTCTTCTCCACCATCACCTCATGATAGGCGACCGGCAAAGATGCCACGATATTTATCTCCATGTTCTCCACCTCCACGGGATGAGTTAGGGGAGTTACGTGATGAGGTCAATGCATTGCGTGAGGAGGTCAGTACTTTACGCGATGACAATGGTGAATGGCATAAGGAGGTATCTACTTTACGTAGTGAGGTAGCGGCTCTACGTGAGATGGTAGCATCGTTGCAGAATGAGGTTCATACTCTATGCAACGAGGTAAGTTTAAGATTTTTCATTTAACTTGATTTACTCGTAATTTCACTTAGATTAACCATTTCACTTGGATTGCTTAGTAAATTCATTCGGTTGCTGCCAATACTGCTAAACAGTTCTAAAATAACTTAGTATTTGTCTTTGTTTTGTCTTTTGGTTGAAGTCAGTAAATTCATATTTGTCTTTTGGATTGCTTAGTAAATTCATTCGATAGTAGTTTATTCTTCAAACTTAAATTTGCAACACTGTGAAGTTAGTATTTATCTTTGTCTTTTGGTTGAAGTAATGCAATCCATTCAAGTTTCAATTTGCAGAAGAAGAATAATAGCAACACGAAAATGATTATCGCAACGCGAATTTGACTATCGCAACGGGATAATCGCAATGCGAAAATGACTATCGCAACGGGGAAATGACTATCGCAACGCGAATTTGACTATCGCAACGGGATAATCGCAATGCAAAAATGACTATCGCAACGCAAATTTAGTTTCGTGTTGCAATTTTCTCGTTGCGATAGTCATTTCGCGTTGCGATTATCTCGTTGCGATAGTCAAATTCGCGTTGCGATAATCATTTTCATGTTGCGATTTTAAGTTTCGTGTTGCGATTTTAAGTTTCAAAAACTATTCTTCTTCTGCAAATTGAAACTTGAATGGATTGCATTACTTCAACCAAAAGACAAAGACAAATACTAACTTCACAGTGTTGCAAATTTAAGTTTGAAGAATAAACTACTACCCTTTATGTTGTCCTTGAACATGCACTAAACCTATATGTTGTCCTTTTAAATGTTTATATAAGTGCTTACTTCCGGAATGTTATCTGATGCATTTTGTGAACTATGATAGAATAATGACTTGGGTGAATACCGTGCAAGTTTGAAACATATTTGTCTTTGTTTTCACTGTTTAATATCATGTCTATTTATTTACTGATTTTATGTATTAATTTATTTTTAGCGGCCCGATAAGGTGGATGCTTTACGTCGGGTTTTTCTTGCACGACGGGGTTCACGCATCAGACGGTGTGCACGTGCCATTAAGTCTCCGTTCACCCCAATAGTGCAAATACTCCGTAAGAAGAAGTCGGATTTTTCTTGCACGACGGGGTTCACGCATCAGAAGGTGTGCATGTGCCATTAAGTCTCCGTTCACCCCAATAGTGCAAATACTCCGTAAGAAGAAGCCCGACTCACCTTTCATCGTTCAAGAGGCCCCTATCATCCCTCTCGTGCCAGACATGATAGATGACTGTTGGCTTTCGTATAAGTTACCGGCCAGTGCCATTCCGGCAGATGAAGTGGAGAGGAAAAAACTACCGGAAACAATTCTGGATAATACCCTTTGGGCTAAGACCGCAGTTGATTTTTATCTACATGAGCGGAGCCAGGGGTGTTACGCTGACATATACAAACTCAACGATGATATGCATTTGTTGATTGATCGGTCTTGGTGGGGTGTGTCATTAGGGGTTGAAGACAATGGCTATTTCGATGGGGGGTAAGTCTTATATTTTTCTTCTTATATTTCATTTTGATTAATTTTTTTTAAATTTATGTAATTCACTAATATATGTCTTTTTTTGTAAACAGCATATTGATGCATGGGTGTCACGTCTTCTAATAATAAGAAAAATAAAAAATACGCGATATACAATTATACCGACGTCTTTTCACATAGTTCACATGAAGAATCAACGACAGGAATCATATGTGTTGGCTAATGGACAAGCTAAACTTTATCCTGCATTGTGGGAGGTCGATAAGGTTAGTATTTATTTTTTAAATATTTTAAAGGTGTTTATAAATAAGTGCGCAATTGAATTATTACTTATGATTGTAGGTGTTTATCCTGTTTTGGAACGTACTCATTGGCTTCTCGTCGAGCTTCAGCTTCCATCCCTGAAGACAATAGTATATGACAGCATGATAAATTACATATCATTATCTGATTTGAGAGATATTATTAAGGGATGGAGCTCTCATTTGGCTAAATTCTTGGATGCGATTAATTATTGAACTTATTCTGGAAACAAGAAGCCAAAGAAGTTCAATATTACAGTTATCAGAGACGAGACCACGCCACAACAAACACAAGAAGCCAGAGGGGATTGTGGTCCTCTCGTATGCATGTGCTTGGAGTGTTTGACGACAGGAAGTACAGAGTTTCTACCTCCCACCGATAGAGATAGAGGTGCAGTAGGCTTGTGGTTTCGGCATTTTATGGCTAGAACGATATATGCGAGACGTTGCCTACCTGCATCCGCGTTATGAAAGTTTCCATAAACAATTGGTAAGTCAAATGCAAGTGTTGTTAAGTACCTAGAATTCAATATAATTGATGTTTGTTGGTTTTAGATGTGTAGAAAGTGTTGTTTGAGCAAATTTTTGGTTTCTGCAGGTTAATCCTGAAGTGAGCTGCGTGAAATTGATGTGATAAACAACTGTCTGGGGTACACTTTTTTTTATTGTAATTGATTCTTAAAAGTCTTACTTGTTTAATTGATGAGAAAAATAATATAGTAAGAGTTGATTTGTTTAATTGATGTGTAAATAATTCTTATTTGTTTAATTGATGTGTAAATAATTATTATTTGTGCTTGTTTAATTGATTAAAAGTTGATTATTGATGTGTAAATAATTCTTATTTGTGCTTGTTTAATTGATTGAAATGTAAAAGTTGATTTATTGATTTCAATCTGCATCATATTCGTGTTGCGATAGTCTAATACACTTTGCGATTTTCTCGTTGCGATAGTCAAATTCCCGTTGCGATAGTCAAATTCCCGTTGCGATAATCAAATTCGCGTTGTGATAGTCATTTCGCGTTGCGATTATCTCATTGCGATAGTAAATTTGCGGTGCGATAGTCATTTTCGCATTGCGATTATCCCATTGCGATAGACAAATTCGCGTTGTGATAGTCATTTTTGCATTGATTATCCCGTTGCGATATTCAAATTCACGTTGCGATAGTCATATTCGCATTGCGATAGTCATATTCGCGTTGCGATTATCAAATGAATGTGTAATAAGTGATAACAACTGAACAAATCATAGTAATGTTCAAACTCAAGTTACTAATATACATGGGCCTAACTGAAAATGTTAAAAGTTTACACATAAAATACACATAATACAACGTTTGCATTTAAAAATCACCTAAGTTAATAGTCTCAAAAGGTGAAGCCGGTTGTGATTGAGATTTTGATTTTGATTGCGATTTTGATTGCCTTTTGCTTGACACCATATGAGCTTTGGATTTTGATGATGATCCATATTTTGGTAGAGGAAAAGATGATTGTGATGGCACTGGTGATCCACATGTCAACCTTGTATGACCACTTTCCTTGCACCGACTACATGTCGATCTCTTCTTCTTTTCACCCTTAGACGGTATACGATCGTGACTTTTTGGTCGGCCAGGTAGCCTTCTGTCCATGGCTGGTGGAAAAACTGTTTGTAAGTCATCTGGTATGTCCCACTCAGAAGGATGTGGAATAGG